CTTTGCTTAAATATCACCTTCTTAGAGAAGTCTACCATGACCACCCTATGGAAAACATGGCAACCATTTCCCCCCAGAATCTTCAATCTCCTTTACCCTGATCAATTTTATTTTTATAGACTCAACACTTTCTAACATTTCATTAACTATAAGATGTCATCAGTTTTAAGCCATGTGCATGTTAGAATCAGTGATACTGTGTATGCTGGCAATTATTACCTTTCATGCCTGTTTCCCCATTAGAATGTAATTTCCTCGAGGGCCGGGATCTTGGTGTGTTTCATTTGCCACTGTCTCACCAGCACCTAGGATAGTCCTGGCATCTAACAAATACTCAATAAATACTTTTAACAACCCACCTTGAGCACTCATTGCTCTGGGGGATTTTCCTGACACAACAGACAGAGAATCAGTTTCTCTACAGTAACTCGCACTACAACTCCCACTCCTCTGTCTCAACAGTTGGAATCCTCAGTCTTAACCCCTCAGAATCTTCTCACAGATTTCTGCATCCTCCAGTCCCAGCCTGCAAATTCCAAAATGGCCACACGGTGGTGGTGTGGGCCTATTTTCCCAGCCAAGATCTGCTTTTGCCCCATGCCCATGGGTTTCTTTTTTTGAGTCCTAGTTAATGCCTTATTCAAACTTTATGAGCCATATCCCTAACAGATATAAATGTAAAGATTTGTGATTATTCCCTATTCAGTATGGGGGAAATATTTTCTGATCAGCCTGTTTTACATGAATTCTGATAATAGTTACATTTGTTTTTTCACAGAAATTTTAATATCAATTTTCTGAAAATATTAAAAAGTTTGTATACACGCTATGAAAATAGTTGACTCTACACACAACGTTTTTACATTGGCAATAATATTTGGCGAGCTTTCTTATGACCATGAAGAGCCAGTCTCTTAGTTCAACGTAATTTCCTGCCACCAACAAGTACTTTTTAAGCACCTTTTCCAGGGTAGCAATTTTTCCTGTTAATATTTAACTTTTAAACTTTACCTCCCCAGTTTCTTGAGCTGAAATCCTGGAACACATTAGGCTCTTTCAAGCCTCCCTGCTTTTGCCGCTGAGGTTCCCACTGCCTAGAATGCCGACTCCATGGGAAGAGAAGCCAAGTAAATGCTTCCTGCCTGCCTGCCACCTGCCCAAGGAGGCTGAGAGATGTCTTCTGAATACAATCAGCAAATGGGACCCAATCATCCCTATTTTGTCACAAAGTGGTTTGTGACCAGGTCGACCTCCTCCACCAGACCAGCAAGCCCTCCACCTAAGGCTCAGGTCTGACTGCTTTTTGGGTCTGCAAACGCACTCAGCACAATCTCACGATTGGATAAGGATTACTAGATTGTTCAATCCATCATTTTATTTAATTGCCTAGCAACCTTATAAGAGAGGGATTATTGTCCACATTTTACAGAAGGGGTAAACTGAGGTGTAAGGTTGGGGGAGGGGGACAGCCCTGGTGTACTCGGTGGGGAGTTGAACCCGGTTCTTGGGGCTCCAAACACCTTGGAATCAGCCCAGATGTCTTGCTTTCCTTTGCAAGGGCCTATTGATTTTGTTCTCGTTCCATTGGACAAAATGCAGTCAGGTGGTAGTACGTAGCTGCAAGGGAGGCTGGGAAATGTAGTCTCTTGTGTCACCAAGGGCAAGGGACCGTTTTTTGTGTGAATGTTCAGCTAGTGTTGGACAGGTGTGGCCCACAGACCTCATTATCTAACTGTGCTCCCTCTATGATCTTATCTCACACTCTCCCCCGACCCCTCTCTGCTCTAGCCACCCCAGCCTCCTTGTTACTTTTTAAATGCTCCAAAATTATTCCTGCCTATTCTTACTGATAACTTTATTAAGACTTGGCCACAATTTTGGAAACATCACTTCACCCATGACAATGCTGTCTGAGGCATGTGAGTTACGTGAGTTCATATAACACTCCTGTGTCAGACTGCACTGTAGCTTTCTTTCTTTCTTTTTCTTTTTTTAAAGATTTTATTGGGGAATTGGGGGAGGGGAACAGTGTTGGGAAATGGGAGAAGAGGAACAGACAAGTTGCTGTCCTTTTGTTCTTCAGTCTAGTTGTGGAGGACGTCGCTTCACTGGCCCATGTTGGTAGTATCATTGTGCTCTTCCAGGGTGAGACAGTTGCTCGCCGGCCATTGGATGGCCGCTCAAGGCAGCTCATGGCAGCTCTCGGCAGCTCACAAAAGCGCAGGTCAACTGCTGGGCAGCCCCACTGCAGCCTAACCGTCGCCGCGACTCACGGCAGCCCAGCTCCAGGTTGAGCTGTTGTTCACCATCCTAGCTGTAGAGGGCACAGCGTCACTGGCCAGCATGTGGGATCCAAACCGGNTATTCATTTTCCTGATTAATGCTGTTGAGAATTTTTTTCTTTCTTTCTCTCTTTCTTTCTTTTTGTCATTTGTGTTTTCTTCCTTCAGGAATTTCTTTCATCTTTTGTTTGCATACATACAAACACACAGAACCACACACACAGACAAACACACTTTGAGACTCTTTTAAAAAAACTCAAATAATTCTACAAGACTTATTTATATGATAAAGAAATCCTGTGCAACTCCTTTCCCCATTTTTCCCTTCCCAAGAGGCAACCACTTTCGTTTTTTTTAGTTGATAATTTCAGCATGATCTCCATTTCTCTAGGGAACACATTTGTATTGCTACTTCTTGATTTATCAGTTTTAGACATTATCCTCTGTCCTTCCACTATGGAAAACAAGGATTTAACTCCCTTTCTTCCCTCTTTCCACACTACTTACACACACTCTTCCCCCTTCTTCTTCAGTGTACTTATGTAATAACTTTGGTCAGATCAATACTCAGCATTTATTATAATTTCTCATCAGGGAAATGCATATGAAAATCACAATGCGATACCGCTACACTCTCACCAGAATGGCTAACATTAAACAAAACTGACAATGACAAGTGTTGGTGAGGATGTGGAGCAACTGGAACTCTGACACATTGCAGGTGGGAATATAAAATCGTATAATGATTTTGGGAAAATGCTTGCAGTATCAACTAAAGCTCAACATAGGAATTTTGCTCCTGGATACACCCAAGAGAAATGAGTTTTTATGTCATCAAAAGATAGACAGAAAGGTGCTTATAGCAGTAGTATTCATGATAGCCCCAAATTGGAAACAAACTGTATGTCCATTACCATGAGAATAGACATACTGTGGTGTGTATTCATTCAATGGATTACTACTCAGCAATAAGAAGGAATGAACTGATGATTCACAGAATAACATGAGTAACTCTCACACACATAACGATAAGTAGAGAACACAGACACAAAAGAGTACATACTGTTGCTATGGACTGAATGTTTGTGTCCCTCTGCACTCCGCCCCCCCACCCCCATTCATATGTTGAAACCCAGTCCACAGTGTGATGGTATTTGGAGGTGAAGCCTTTGGGAGATGATTGATCATGAAGGTGGAGCCCTCATGAATGGGATTTATGCCCTTACGAAATTGACCCCAGAGAGCTCCCTCACCCTTTCCTTCATGTAAGGACACAGTGCAAAGATGGCCAGCTATTAACCAGGAAGCAGACTCACTAGACACCTAATTGGCCAGTGCCATGATCTTGGACTTCCAAGCTCTTAGAACCATGAGAATAAACTTCTATTATTTATAAGCCACCCAGCCAGTAGTGTTTTGTTATAGCAGCCCAAACAGACTAAAACACTCTATGATTCCATTCATATTAAGTTCAAGAACAAGCAAAATGAACCTATAGTTATAGAAGTTGGAATAATAGTCATCCTTTGGGAACGGTATTAACTAGAAGGGGACACCAGGGAGTCTTCAGGGGCACGGGATAAGTTCAATCTGAGTGGTGGTTATTTGGGTGGATATATCAGTAAAAATTCATTGAGCTGTACATTTAAGATCTTACCATTTAGGTAAGTTTTACCACCAAAACAACTCTTAAAATAAATATAGAGATACAGTAATGCCTTGGTTTGCAAGCATAATTCGTTTCAGAAATAAACTACTTGTGTTGCAAGACATCGCTCGTTTACCACGTTAAAATGTATTAGAAATGTTTGGGGCCGGCCGAGTGGCGCAATGGTTAAGAACTGGCTTGGAATGCCAGAGGGCCCCGGTTCGGATCCCACATATGAGGGCCAGTGACACTGCCCTCCACAGCTAAGATGCTGAACAACAGCTCAACCTGGAGCTNTTGGAAATGGCCATGATCTACCTAGTCGGTTCAGGAACCAGGTAGCAAACCTCATGTAACACTTTTGTACCTGCCTGTAGTCACTCCTTGGAGCCCTGCCTCCCACTCACATCTTTGCTCCCCTCCCTTCCCCCACCCCTCTCCCAAGACTCAGTCTTTGAGAGCTTCAGGAATGTGAAGTGGGGAAAAGGTTTCCTGGAAGAGTGTGCCCCTTTCCCCCACAGAGAGTTCTGGGAGTGTGGAGAGGAGAGGAGATGAAGGGAGAGATTGGGGGAAGCACAGAGGCCAGATGGGTGGTCATTGGGGTCCCCCAAACTGGACTTCTTGAGACCTAAACAGTTTGGAAGATGCGAATCTGTGGGAGTCTTAGTTTAATTCTCATAGACCTAGGTCTCCAACATCTGTATTTGGGAGGGGGTCACATGTCTGGAGACCCCAGTACCAGATTATCAGAGCTCTGGGTGGGATCCACAGGGTCCTCCCAAAAACACATACCAAGAGGAGGGAAAGAGTTCCCCAATCAAGGGTCTTGGGGCTGGGGGATCTTGGACTAAAAGGTCTGGGGTTCTAGGAGATATCAGAGTGGAGCCCTGAAGGGTGAGAACCCAGTTTGGAGACCCCAGAACCCAAGAGAAAGCCATCCTGGGGCTCCAGGAACCCAAGAAATAGTAGGGCGCCAGGCTTGGGAATCACTGAGCTTGGGAACCCCAGACTTGAAGGGCAAGAAGGGGAGAGTCTGTCCCAGGTTTAGGGGTGGTGGGGGTCCCCAGTACCGGATCAGCGTGGCCCCGGAGGGCTCCACCTTCAGCAGCGGCAGCAGCAGCAGCAGCAGCGATAACAGATACATTTCTGGGGACTTGTGTGTGGCCCCAGGCATACCGCAGCTTCGTTTTCTTCCCCCTGAGGCTCCACCCTGTTCACCGCCCACCTCTGGGTTTCGGAGGTGACCAGGACTGAAGTCTCTCAGTGGATGACACCCGTGCGGGGTGGGGGGTTGGGGGGTAGCGGGGAGTATTTTTGGAGGGTTGCAAAGTGTCATTATCGCGCCACACTTCCAACTTCAGTGGTCGTGGTGGGGGTGGGGGTCTTTGGCGCCCCCGTCCCCATCCTTTAGCTACTATCGCTTTTACTTATAACTTTCACTTCACTTTTCTGAGACTCATTCACCACAAGAGTTTTCTTGGGCAAGTGAAGGGATGGGCTGGGTGTTGGTGAAAGGGCTGGGGGAAAGGAGGGTCAGACAAACGCCCTGCGTCCCATGTTAAGTGGGACCTCGAGATGAGGACTCAACTCATCGTTTTATTTGGAAAATACTGAAACACACACAAATAAAAATTGCCCATAGCCTCACTACCATCGAAAATGCATAAAAGTAATTCACAGTGTCTGTGGCTCGACCTGCCCATTCCCCCTTGATTAAGCTTCTCAAATATTAACGAGCATCAGAAAATCTAGTTAAAATACAGATTCCTGGGCACCACCCGCAGAGATTCTGATTCCAAAGGCCTGAGATGGAGCCCAAGAAACCGCATTTTTTCAACAAATCCACTGATCACAGGGCCACAAGCATTTCTTCTTCTTTTTTTTTAAGATTTTTTTTTTTATTGGGGAAGGGGAACAGCCAAGTTGTTGTCCTTTAATCTTAGTTGTGGAGGGCGCAGCTAGCTCAGCTCCAAGTCCAGTCGCCATCTGGCTGCCC